AAACTCGGCGACGCAGCGACACAGCGGTTCGATGGCTCGATGACTTGGTGACAACGCTAGCTTCGTGGAGTGATACTGACTCAGACCGTTGCTCTTTGGTACAGCGGAGAGGTGGATTGGAAAGAATGGTTTCCGACTCTATGGACTTGCAACTTGACCGTTCGCGCGACAAAGACATCAATGAGACAACTTCAGACTTAGATGATTCTAGAAAGATGGTCGATGACCCTTTGCTTCTCGGAAGGAGGATGATTCTTTCTACAGAGTCCCACTCCGTCAGTTCGACGAGGCCGGTCTACTCCAATGCTCTAGTCGTGATTGATGAGGTTAGCGATGAGATTGTAGTTTTTCCGGCAAGGTGGCGTTCATTGATAGCGAGGTCTTTGTGACGAGGCTTCCACGCAGCGAGAAGTTTCGTGCCGACGAGGTATCATGATGATTCAGTCCGGCGAAGAGGATGGGCATACATCGCGCAAGGGGAAGCCGACGGCATCGCGTAGTGGACGTGGCAAAGTGAGGTTCGATCGGCGATGTGGAAGCCGACGGCGAGGATGAGGCGAGGTGAGATCGGGGGAGAAAGATGGCGCTTCGATCTAGCGAAGCGAAGGAGCTTGAATCGCAAGGTGGAGAGAACGTCGACGTTGCGAGGTGAACAACGATAATGTCCCTGATTTTAACGAGGTGGCCGATGATCGAGGAGAAGCTTGCGCAACGAAGTGGAGAAGACAACGGCATCACGAGGTGAGTTACGCCAAGATTCTGTGAACATTAACTTTGACGAGGCGATTGATCGATGATGCAAAGTCGATGAAGTGATTGATTAATGACGTTGGCGTTGATAAGATGATTGATCGATGACGTGATTGATTGACGACATGGCTAACCGCCGAGATAAAGTTAATGATATGAAGTCGACCAACTGCTTAGATCTCGCTGCTAAGCTTTGGGTTGCGGATGTGCACCATGGTGTTTCAAAGCGTAGCCCGAACTGGCGGCAAAGTACGAGGCGAAGATCGACCGTGCTAGAGAGAAGATCAAGTGATCAATGGCCAGTCGAGGATAGACATAATCGATCTTGTTGAAATCATGAGTAACATTGAGTTCGTAAAGTTGCTTCAGAGTGACAAGGCGTCTCATCTTGGTGAACAGCTTGTTGACCTTGAGAAGTAGGAAGCGGACCTATCAATTGCAGATGAGGTGTTTGCTAAGTATGTGCGCGAACTTGAAGAGATTCCTACAGATTCGCATGTTAACACGACTGATGATCAAGTTAAGGAAATGGACGTTGATGTCGTTGAAGAGGAGGCTGACTCGGATTCGAGTTCTTCTGATTCGTTAAGCGAAGACGACTTGTCAAACTCTGCGGCTGCGATTCCTTCTGAGCAAGTCGACGAGATTGTCGACGATGTTGGACGAGACCGCGCCTTAGTTGTTTTTTTTATTTTAGCACTTTCTCGTACATCTGATTTCAGACTTAGTATTTGATTATCCTTTTGTTCAGCGTCATTTTTGCCTTACGTTATTTGTGATAACGATATGAGTTAGGATGATGCTTATCCTTGTTTTGAGGCAGGCTGTCGTTGATTGGTTTGTTTCCAAAGATCAACTATATTGCTGTTGGGACCAGTGATAAGTTAAC